TTTTAATTTTTTTTTAAAATTTATTTAAAAATTTATATTCTAATTAATATTTTTTTTATTAAAATTTTTTTTCATATTGTTATAACACTAAAAGCAAATGTAACTATAGTGACAGAAGTTTTTTGTCTGTATACACCCTTTTTCCATCAGTATAGACCCCTAGAGAATATTTCGATGGAAGAGCTTTTGGTCGGTAAAAATCTCGTCAGTATAGGGTTTATACCAATGCCTAGTCCATTTGTATAGACCCTTGGGACCTATTCTGATAGAAGACTTGTCCATTGGTATAGACCTTGAGAAATTGTAAGAAATTTTGCCGTGGGTATAAACTTCTACCTTTACAAATGGATAATTCCGTTGGTATAGACCCTAAAAAAAAAAAAAGACATACCATCTGCATATGTAGCCATAGCAGCTTCATCTGACTAAAATTAAACTCTTAATCTACTCAATCTCTTTCTCTATTGTCACAAATCTCTCAAGAATTTCTGATGTGCCAACAAATGTCACAAATCTATTAAAAAATATAAATGATCAACAAATTCATAACAAAAATGCCATGTAATTAAATTTTAGTGATGGCAGTTAATCTAAAATTCAAATCTATAACTTTGTTCTTGTAAATATCTTCCCTTTCTTTGCATAAATAGTAAAAGGTCATTCTATGCAAATGTGACTCCAAAGCAACCCATCAAGTTAATGACTTGTCTATACACCCATGATTGAATTTACCTTTGTAAACTGCCTTTGATGAACTAGGATGAATCTGAACATAATGGACAGGGGTTATCAAGTACCCTCCTCTGGAAATTAGATCTTTAGCACTTTCTAACTTCTAACTTCTATTGACCTTGGTGCCAATTTCTCACTCTCCTTGTCTGCAAAAAAAACCACATCACACTTATAAATTCACAAAAAAAAAAAAAAAATCCAACCTCACAAATCAATGACCTAATACAGAAATATAAATCTATGCATTCCACAAAATGTACATATACAGTTATGAAATTACTGTACATGACTGTGTTCATTGTGATTCAAAGCAAACCCATCACAAAGAGAAACTAAATTCTAAATTTGAAACTAATCCTTATTAACTAGAGTCATCCAAAAAAAACTAAAGTTCTCTCATTGTTGAGCAACTTCTTCTTCTATGGTAGAAAAACTAAAGTCATCCAAAAACATATTTAATTGCAGAAACTAAATTCTAAATTTGAAAATAATTTTAAAAAGACTAGGGAAGGAAATTCCATATTTATCACATGGAATAACCTAGGACACAAAGCATTCTCTATATTGGTAATGCCTTTTAATTTTCTATTAACCCTTCAAGTATTCAATTATAGAGAGTCAAGAATACAAGAAATATTAACACCCAAAAAAAAGAAAGATTTCCCAGTCCATTAATTTGCCAGCCCATGTTAAACTTTTTGTAATAGTCCCCCAGTATGTTTATAATAAAAAAGACTATTCATTCACTAGCAAGAAAAGAATTTTAAATTTTGTAAAGAAAAGTGAAAGAAAAATGATTTCTTTGGGTGGTGGGGATATAACTTTCACAGCTCCTAAAGTAAGATTACAAAACATGAAACATGTTGGGGTAAGATTTTACGAAAATTGATTATAAAAAATGACATTACATGCAAAATTAACATTCACTAACATTCATGTTTGACCATACCCAACAACCTCCCTAAGTTTAGGAGTTCTGATAAATCTAGGTGCAAAAGAAGAGATTAACAAAGGTCAAAGAAACAAAAGTATACCTCCCTTCATACCCCCCAGTCAAAAAAATTGCATTCAATAAAAAATGCAATCAGAAACCCCAAACTTCCAATAGGAAATGACAA